AAGAGGGGAACATCTTGAATTTTGAAGAACTTAAAAGTAATTAAGTTCTTCAAAATTCAAGGTTTTCCACTCTTGAAAACTTTCAGATAATTTTTTCCCATTGTTATTACAGTAAATAGGCCTTCCTAGATGGTGGGAAATGAGCTTTCCCCGACTTTTGTGGTGTCTTTTAAATTCTTCAAAATTCAAGGTTCCCCCCCCCCCTTTGAAAATGATTCAAGTAATCAATGAACTCCAAAGATAAAGGGTCTGGGTTCCCCGGAAAAATTTCGATTTCTAGATGGCAGGAGTGAAGCTTACCTGACTTCTGAAATGTCTTTTAATGACTTTTAAAGTTCTTCAAAATTCAAGGTTTTCCCCTCTTTAAAAAGGTCAGGTAAATTTTTCTCATTTTTTATTTTATGTGTGTATACATACATAAACAAATGAGTAGTTGCATGCGTAATTTTTTTTCCATGAATCGATAAATCCCAAAAAGAAAGGGTGGTCCGGGGGTTCTCCCCCTGGAAAATTTTAATTCCTATATGGCGGGAATTGAGCTTTCCCGACATTTGAAGTGTGTTTTAATGAATTTTATGTTCTTCAAAATTCAATTTTTCTAATAGCAAAAAAAAAAAATTTAAAAAAATCAGCTCACGGGTCCTGAAAAGGTAGGTCTAAAATATACAAACTTTTTTCCCCTTTTTTTTGTTGCACAAGGGAGGGGTCAGGACCCATGATCCCCTCCTCCCAGATCCGCCAATGTGAATTGCGAGAAAATGTAACTCGGTCGGGTACTGGATAAACACTGTCTCTTATACACATCTAGATGTGTATAAGTTTCCCATCCTTCTCCTTCTTCCCTCCTTCTTTTTTTGCATTTCCGATCATACAAAGTTCTCCAGACATTATATATTTTTCGCCAAAAAGTGGGGGGGCCCAGGCCCCCCCGGTTCCGCCGCCCATGTCTAAAACAAGAATACACTAACCAAAGACAAATCCAAAAATACACAACGAAGAGGATTCAAACAGCACCGCAACATTTTCCTGCAATTTAAGGCACAAGGCCTGCTTGGGCAATATTCACAGGTATCGTAGAGGTGTTTGGCACCTACTGTATGCCTACCTACAACAGCTTTCTTAAATGCTGAAGTAGAGTCAGCCGAACGAATATTGCATGGCAGGCCATTCCAGTAGCAAGGTACAGCATAAGAGAGTGTCCGGCGATGTTAGGTTACGAGTGAGTTGATTGGTGCCGAATCCAGAAGCAGAGTGTTATCATTTCCAGACCCGAGACCAGTGCGCCCTGAGCAATGTAATGGCAAACAGGCTGATAGGTATTCTGGAGCCAGACGCCGGATGCACTTATAAACCGTCATAAAGACCTTGAATTTAACTCTATCTCACAGTACAGGCGGCCAGTGTAGCAGTGGCGGCTCTACGATAGATTTTCTTGGGGGCTAAGTTGACAGAATGGCACTTTCAGACTGTGACAGACATGTGTCTTGGTGTGGGCCTATTTTTATATGTTTTGTGGTCTGACTGCCCAACAGGCCTTGACCTGTCCGGTGGGGGAACTTAAGCCCCCTGTGTCCCACTGGCACTGCCACTGCAGTGTAGTTGACGCAAATATGGTGAGGCATGGTCAAACTTTCTACCACCACAGATCAACTTAGCAGTTTCAGTTCTGAGCATGCTGAAAGTGATCTAAATCTAACTTCATGGTTAGAGAGTTAAAAAATTCATGATAATGAGAGCTTGGACAACTGATGACACAGCTGTAGTAAAGATAATTGTTGATGTGGTTTGCAACTTTTCATTGGAGGCATTTTTGACCATTTACATCTGAAGCAATTTTGCCATGTGATTTAAAGTTTTTTGTTTTCCTTGATACAATTAATGTAATAGTGTGAAAAAGATTGCAAACAGTGTAAGCATTACACCCTTTGTCTATTTCTGTTTATTAGGCGAATGCAAGACCCACTATGTGGATTGTCAATGGGACCAGTTTTTACAATGGTTTGTGTGATTGAACTCAGAGCTAGGAATATTGGAAATTTTATCAGTTTTTCTTGGTCCTTGATTAGTGTAATGTAGTAATTAGGTTCAATAATATTTACTATTGGAATTTGTATATCATCGAGACCCCTTCACCTATTAAATGCCTTAAATTGATTTGACAGATTTATAAGCCCAAGTCGTGAAGTTCGTAATATATCTTAATTAGCAACTTTTTGGTAAACAAGTTATTAAATCATAGAGAAAGAATTTCTATGTTCAAATCAGAAACTCTAACAGTATGGAGTGAATTAATCTAGACACACCCCATTACCTTGAGTATAAAAGGCTAACACCCCACCTCACTGATTCAGTAGTAGTAGCAGTAGTAGTGATCAGACACCAGAGAGAAGAAATTAAAAATTGACTCCACTCTGAATGGGTTCAACTCTAAAACTCTAAAATCTGAGTAACCTGGAGTTAGTTGTCGATTGTATATATGTACAGTAGAGAAGTTGATGCTGAATAAAACTTTGAAGTATAGTAGTAGTACAAAAAAAAACTTTATAAATCATTGGAAGCCTCCAACTACAATATTACATGGTGGACAGACCAGAGCTAATCTAACCGTACCTCTCCTGCAAAGCTGAGCTCATGACAAGCTAAGTCCACCCAAGAAATGAAAACAAATTAACTGGAACCTGACAAATTATTTAACATTTTGGACCTATCTGAATGACTGGAATGACTTTTGGAACGAATTAAACATTTTCTTCAAATACCGCAACCAACTAACTACAAGAATTGTAACCCATGAGAAGTAAAACAAAACAGGCATCGACATTACAAAAAGAGTATTGAAACAAAACAAAAATCAGATTTGTTACAAGCCGACAGACGAACACGATGTTAGGATTCAAGACGACAAGCCAGCATTTAATAATGAAACTTCCCTGACCACACCTAATGACGGAAATGACAACGCTCCAAAATATTTTTTAACATTAGACCAACTTTACTTTGAACATTATATTTTAATTTGAATTTTATTTTTAATAAAAACTTGCATGAATGTCTTCTCATTCCGTGAGATCAGTATTGAAAGTGGATATCAAATTGTTATTGTGCTGAAAACTACTTTTGGTAAATTTATGCTTAGTATTCAAATTATTTATTTTGATTAATTTAAATTTTTTAGGCAATATGAGTTTATATCATCGACGCAAATCTCATTAGAGCAGTAAAATCTGTAATTAATCTGCTATTGTTACAATTTTCCTTACAGATAATAAAGAAGCATCAACACTAGGAAGACCAAAATTAGACAAAGGTGTGTACTTGGTGCTGGTGTATTATAAATCATCATTTTACATTCCAAGTAATTTTTCTATCCTGATTGGATTGGTACTTACTGTTGGGTATGTTTGCATCTCTGTGCAAAAAGCTAAAACCAACCTACATCATGATACCAGGGTGTAACTGCAACAATCAAAAATTTGCTCACAGACCATAGCAGACCTTAGAATAATTGTATAAATTTATTTAAATTTTGATTCTATTTTCCAAATCAATGCCCAAAATGACTTTATTATATATGCGGTCAGTCACCTTGTTTTCTCATCTAGGTGTAGACCTTAGCCTACATTTCTAGGCTTCATTCATTTTCAAACATCACAAAGCAGGATTGGTTAGGTTTGATGCATATGTTCTGCTAAACCTATGTAATAGTCTTGCGCAGTGTAATACAGGTTTATGTTTGATCTACTGCACCAATCCATATTATGTGCTACTGTATAATGCATATCACTATAGCAACTGATGACTGAGAAACAGCAGTTCGATTTAGAAAATTGCTTTGGTCTTTGAGATAATTCAGAATTCCTAATTTTATTTTTCTCACACGTGATAGTAGTTAAAAAAGGGAAATCTCTGTTCATGTGTCAGCTACCATAAAATTCACTTAAAACTACTATGTGTAAATAAAGGCTATATGCATGGCAAAAACATTGATTACTATGCTTCTGTAGCAAACCATAGTAAATCTTTGTAATGGACAAGATTGGCCTTTGACCTTTTCATTTCTTAATAAATGTTAAGACACCCATTATTTTGATTACATTATTACAGTATAAAACTTAAAGATGAAAAAGACATTAAAATATTTAAAACAGACTAAATGGGCATTAGTACAAAACTTCAATATATAAAAGGCATTAAAAATTTTGAGATACCTACTACACAGCAACATGGGAAAATCACTAAGAACCTCTTGAATTTGGAATTATGTATTTGTACAATTGTATAATACGTAGTGGTTTTAAGCACATTCGTTCAAATGTAAACTTTTTTAACTATTTTGTGACTAAGCCCACATTATGTTGCACAATTCATTCATGCTGATTAATATATAATCAAATTACCATGAAAAATTTAACACTCTGAATTAATCTACACATGGAAATATTTAGATAAAATACCTATAAATACAGTATGTAACACTGATAATGATAAGTACCGTACTCGCGCGAATAAGCGCCCCGTTTGAATAAGCGCCCCTATCGAATAAGCGCCCCTCATAACGAGAAAATTTCCTTAAGCGCCCCTTCTAATTTGAATAAACGCCCCTTCAATAACCCAATCAATCCTGGGACTGTGGATGTTGGCATGATTTGAGGTGTGAAGTGGAATCACATTCTCCTTTAGTCAATATCAAAGTGAGGATATTTATCTTTGACAGAATGATGAGAGCTCCCTGGACAGACAGTATTTCCAACTTTTATCTTCTTTCATTTGTCTATATCCTAGTCCAACTACTCATTTTCCGACAATTTGCACCTTTAACACATTCTCATCTAAGTTTTCAAGAAAACCTGCAATGATCATGCCGTCCTGCTATTCTCAATCGACCGATGGTGAACAAGCTAACCACCACCACTAATTTCATCTGCTATTCTGCTGTTAATACTGTACTCGCAACATTCTTGTCATGACAAGCCATGCTCTCTGGACGATTATCTTTTCTGCCGCAGCACCATTCGTAATTTGCGGATACCTGATGTCCTTATTTAATCGTTTTTCATTCAAAATGTGCCTCTTAGATTTAATAAGTTATCATAAGAACCCCTTGATTTTCATTTATTTCCATAAGCGCCACTTCAATTTTCACTGTTTTTATAAGCGCCCAGTTCGAATAAGCGCCCCGTTTGAATAAGCGCCCAGGGGCGGATCCAGAGATGTCCAAAAGAGGGGGGCCGAAAGAGGGGCCGAAATTTGGGCCGATCGAGACAACAATTTTTGTGTTCTAGACGCCCGAAAATAACATTTGAGGCGTTCTGGGCTATCATTTTTTTCTTTTTCTTTCTTTTTATCTTTCTTTTTTCTTTTTTTACCTCCCAAAAGGGGGGGGGCCAGGGCCGGGCGCCTCCCCCCCCCTAAATCCGCCCCTGGCGCCCCTCAAAAAGTCCAAAAAATATTTTAAGCGCCCGGGCGCTTATCCGCGCGAGTACGGTATGCTGTTAAGAAAAATAAATATGTTTACCTTTTGTCTTCTTATCAGAAACATTTCTGTATGAGATTGAACAAAATTATTTGTTGTTTTTTTTTTTTATCTATTTCAGATTTTATTATCAAAGATTGCTTGAAAAATTGGCTGAAAAAAAAGTATCGTGATGTCAACCAAATGACACCAGCAATCTGGCGTGAGGATCATAAGGTAGACATTGCAGAAGTATTTACTGAACTCAGCTTACTGCAATCTCCAGGACAAGTAGAAAAGGAAGAAACTAAGGAAAAAGAAAAGAAAATCAAGTCAACAAGTATAAGAAAGGAAGGTAGATCCACATCATTAGCAGAGGTATTAGATGTTATTAAATCAACAGATTCATGTAAAGTATTAATAACAGGTCAAGGTGGAATGGGCAAGACCACCCTTCTTAAATATATTGCTCATCAGTGGGCAACTAATGGTGTACATAATGCTTTTGCTGGTAAACTATTGTTTCTGCTAACTATCAGGGACATTAAAGCAAACGAGCATTCCTTGGACATTATTATAAAGCAAATAAATACAAAAGAGTTAATTCTAAAAAACAAGTTGCCATCGAATTCAATTGAAACCTTTCTGACTAACCATGCTAATGAAATAGTGATTTTGTTAGATGGATATGATGAGTTGGAAAAAGATAATGAGGACTTGATAAATCTTTTTAAAGGACTTCAATTGCAAGAAAGCACAGTTGTGATAACATCTCGACCTGATAACACTACTACTCTGGTTGCATGTTGCAATGTACACATTGAAGTCAAGGGATTCAATTCTGAGAACATAAAGAAGTATATTTGTAATCATTTTCATTCAATTGATAAACCTAAATTGGGTGAATCTCTTATTAAGGAATTCAGACTTGATTCAAATTTTAAATGGTATTGGGGTGGTAGTCACAAAAAAGCATTTGAATTATGTTCATCGCCATTGTTATTGCTTAAGATTTGTACTATTTGGCAACAGAAGTCATATCTTCCTACAAACTTGTCAGATCTTTTCAAGGAATTGTTTTGTTGCATTTTAAACCAATACTTAAACAAGAGTGGCAACACCACTGCTATTTCCCAATTTATCAGAATTCCAAATGAGTATAGAAGTGCCATTTTATTATTAGGAAAATGTATTTATGAAGGCCTGAAGGAAAATAGACTGACCATTGACAAATACATCCTGACGAAAATGGCAGATAATGAAAAATTAGTTTATTTAGCACTCAAAATTGGATTTGTTTATGAAGATATCCTTGTTGAGCCAGGTGATGTAAGGAAGATTTACACAACCCCACACAAATTACTTTCAGAGGCACTAGCAGGATTTTTTCTCTCTGAACAAGAGACTTTGGAAGATGATGAATATGAGGTGATAAGATGTAATGACAATTTACTTATGACAAGAGTATTTACATTAGGATTTCTTGGTGCTGATGCTTGTAAATTGCTGAAACACTGGTTGATAGTGAAGGCCTCAAATTATTACTCCCTGGCACAATGTTTAGAATATATAAAGGATGAACTTAAAGACCAGGTCCTACAGCAATTGGATAACCACATGCCCAATGAAATGAAAGCATGCTGTAAGCAAATGTGTGAGTCATTTAAAAGTGTTTTGAATTGTAAAGACATAACAAATATGCATTTATTCAAACTAATGCAAAGATTTATGGATGATTATAAATTTACATTTGGTAAAATTGAAAAGAAATTAATGTCTTTGGTAGATAGATGTAGTGAAGAGTCTTTCAGAAATTCATGTAGAAAGATTGTACATATCTCAGTTGTAGCACAAGAATTGCGAAAATTAGTAATTACTGAGGAAAAAATAAGTGCTAATAGCACTGAGCATTTACTTAAATACATTTCAGATTGGGGAGATAAGGAAATCAATATCCTTTCAGCTGAGATGGAAAATCTCCACTTTAAATATAGTCATACTAATGTCACCTTAGATATTACATTTAATTCATCATTCTTGATTCATTTTCTAAAATACGCAAACAATCTATCTGTCTTGTCCGTATGTGGAAGACTTAAAGCAACTGTACTCACTCAAGTTATCAATGAGTTTCATAAAACTTATAAAAAGTTGGAATTAAATGTACTTGATATAAGTCACAATGATCTAAGTGATATTAATGGAGCATTACTAAGAAAACTTTTTGAAATAGCTCCTAAATTAATTGACCTAAATGTATGCGGATGTGAGTTATCAGGTGATATTTTGAGGAAAATGATAACAGAATGTCAGAACAATGGAGTTAAATTAAAAAGCCTTGACATTAGCCATAATTATGGAATGGATGACACATTATTGAGCGATATACTTATGGAAAATCCAAATCTGTATAGTCTGAATGTAAGTTCATGTAAGCTATCCCGGGAAAGTTTTACTAACATTGTCAATAAAATATTTCACTATAACATACCAGAAACTGAACTAAGAAGATTCAACTGTAGTAGAAATAATCTAGGATTGTTAGATGGAAAGCTAATTGGAATGCTTTTGAAAAAACTTCCTAAACTCAACTATTTTGACATAAGTTACTGCTTTTTATCAGGCAGTATTGTTTGTAAAATGATAGATGTTTGTAATAAAATGAATTTAGTATTGAAAGACAATATGCTTTGTCTGGAGGGCAATGACCTTTCAGATATTGACAGTAAATCATTTGCTGAGTTAATTAGGGTAAGTTATAAAACATTTGATTTCAAATGGAGTGATTATTGTCTTAAAACTGATAATCTAGAAAAAATAGTTGCATCAATAGGGGAAAATACAGTGTTTAATTGGAGATATTTGGATTTAAGTGGAGTTAGCCTTGCTAAAATCAGTGGTAGAACATTAGCTTACCTTTTAAAGATCTCTACACACCTGATCTCTATTAACATGGATGAATGCTGTGTATCAGGCAAAATTGTTGGTGAAATGCTGGAAGAATGTAATAGGATCAATGTAGTATTTCAAGGCTCCATGGTTTCTCTAAATAGTAATAACCTTTCAGATATTGATAGTAAATCACTTGCTAGATTAATTACAGATTATCATATTTTCAAATGGAGAAATTATTTTCTTACAGCTGATAATCTACAAAAGCTAGTTGAATCAATAAGTGAAAATGGGACATCAAGTTGGAGAGAGTTAGATTTGAGTAAGATTAACTTATCTTCAATCAGTGCAAGAACATTAGCTTACCTTTTTAGAATTTCTACACAATTGACCAAAATTAACATGGATGATTGCAGTTTATCAGGCAGAATTGTTGGTGAGATGCTGAAGGAATGTGGTAGGATGAATGTAGTATTGAAAGACAGCATGCTTAGTTTGAATGGTAATGACCTCTCGGATATTGAATGCAAGTCAATAGCAGGGTTAGTTGGGATTATCTTTGCACCTTATGAATTTAAGTGGAGTAATTATTCTTTTAGATCTGATAATCTACAAAAACTAATGGAATCAGCTGGTGAAAATAGAAAATTTATTTGGAAAAAGTTAAATCTGAGTGGAATTAACTTAACTGCAGTTAGTGGGAAAACGTTAGCTTACCTTCTTAAAGTATCTCCATTTCTGACCTTTATTAACATAAATGATTGCCGTTTATTAGGAAAAGTTGTTAGAGAAATGATGAATGAATGTAGTAGAATGAATGTAGTATTGCAAGACAACATGCTTGGTCTAAAGAAAATTGACCTTTCAGATATTGATGGTAAATCACTTGCTGAGTTTGTTAGGGTAATTGCTTATGATGATTTCAAATGGAGTGATTATTCTCTTACAGCTGATAACTTACAAAAGCTAGTTGAATCAATAGATGAGAATCGGATATTAAATTGGAAAAAGCTAGATTTGAGTAGGATTGACTTAACTTCAATCAACGCAAGAACATTAGCTTACCTTTTTAAAATTTCTAAACACCTGACCAATATTAACATGAATGATTGCAGTTTATCAGGCAGAATTATTGGTGAGATGATGAAGGAATGTGGTAGGATGAACATAGTATTAAAAGACAACATGCTTAGTCTGAAGGGCAATGACCTTTCAGATATTGACAGTAAATCAATTGCTGAGTTAGTCAATGTAGTTAATACACCATATCAATTCAGTTGGAGTGATTATTCTCTTAAAACTGATAATCTAGAATTACTGGTGAAATCAGTAAGCAAGAATAAGACATTGAATTGGAGAAGGGTAGGTTTGGTTGGAATGGATTTGACTACAATCAGTGGAAAAACATTAGCTTACCTTTTTAAGATCTCTACAGATTTGATGCAAATTAACATGGATAATTGCAGTTTATCAGGCAGAATTGTTGCTGAAATGATGGAGGAATGTAGTAGGATGAATGTAGTATTGAAAGACAGCATGCTTACTTTAGAGGGAAATAACCTTTCAGATATTGATGGTAAATCACTTGCTGAATTAGTTAGGGTAATTGATCGTGAGCATTTTACATTCAGGTGGAGTAATTATTCTCTTACAGCAAATCATTTAGAAAGACTGTTGGAATCAATAGATGAAAATTGGATGTTACATTGGAGAAGTTTAGATTTGAGTAGAATTAGCCTAGCTAGAATTAGCGGGAAAACATTAGCTTACCTTTTTAAAATCTCTACACACCTTGTCTATATTAACTTCAATTATTGCAGTTTATCAGGCAGCATTGTTAGTGAAATGATGGAAGAGTGTGGTAAGATGAATGTGGTATTGAAAGACGGAATGCTTAGTGTGAAGAAAAATGATCTTTCAGATATTGATAGTGAATCACTTCTCAAATTATTTAAAGTACTTTTTGAAGATGCGTCCAAATGGAGTGATTATTCTCTTACATTTAATCATCTACATAACATACTTGAAAATAGGACCGGTTTTAAATTTGTAGACTGGAGGAGAGGGATATTTGCTAGTTTCTTTACATTCTCTACATTTCAGATCATTATTGATCACAGCGGAAATACAATGAATTCTGTTTATGTAGTATTGAGAGACAACATTATTCATTTCAATGAGAATGGAAACATGACTTATTATATGTTTTACAGGTTAACCAATGTAATTGATGATTTGCAAGGTTATATTTCTGATTCTTCTGAATCAAGTGATTTAGATGCAGAATTAGAGTAACTTTAACAGTATTTCAAAAAGATTACATTTCCTGGTCAATTAAATGTAAAAATTACTGCATTATCAGCATGTTGTGCAATTATTTTAAGAGGAAATACAATCAAGAAAGTCACTCGCTAAAAGATTAAACAAAGTCGAGCCACCAGTTGTCTTTTGCCAATAAGGAATGTTGCTGAAAATGCTGTAGAGGCCTGTTTTGTTAACTTTAAGGCATCTAGAGTCAATACACAGAAATTTACTGATACTGGAATAAATCGATTGGTCTCTAATTATAATGTGAAAGATTTGCATCTCCACTTTTAAAAGTAGGCACAACATTTGCCTCCCTCTAAGCCAATATTAGCGAAATGTTACAGAAATTCTTCAAACTAGCGTAATGGATTCACATTTAAAATCCATCCAATTTAGCGAAAATATTAAGATATTTAATTAGGCCATTTAGTTGTCTGTTCAGTTCTCTGAAGGTTAACTACAGAATTTATAGTACAGTACACTGTAAAAATTATATTGAAAACAAAAAAATCTTTCGAATAAAAAATATTTCGCTTAACATTAGGAATTAGTCAATTATAGGCTATGTCGAGTGTTATGTTGAATAGTGGCAGATTCAAGGAGGAGCCCAGTCAACCTCCTATTTTTTCAAAATTATTTAAAAAATTGAGAAAACAGAAAACTGCATTCAACTTTTAATCTGCAAGTGCCATTTCCAGCCATCTAAAGGTTCCACAATCATATTTTTTTCTTACCGCAGTCACTACCGTTGTGGGGCTGAGGTGGGGGGTGGGGGGCACACTCCATTTGCACAAGACCCTCCCTGGGTCCCCAATATTTTGACTTCCTGGACCCGCAACCGTTGAAGTATCATTTCCAGGATACTATAGAAGGGTAATTTCATCCATCGAAGGAAAAGTGAAGGTTTCGACTGGGAATACCCATGTCAAGCATACCCCTCATGATAAATAATTCATCGAGATTGTGGAAGCAATGGCGTATCCAAGGGTGGGGCCTAAATTGTTTTATTTTTTTTTAATGGACATTATAAGAAAATTATATTCAAATTTTAAGTTTGAGAGTGCAATTTCCCGCCATCTAGATGTGTCATAATTACAAATTTTCTTGCCTCAGCCCTAACCTTGGTGGGGCTGAGGTGGTATAGATCCTTCATATGCAAAAGTGCCCTAGGGTCCTAAATTGTTATTTTTTTTTTTTTTTTTTATCGAGATATAAAAAAATTATATTGAAATGTTAAATCTGAAAGTGCAATTTCCGGCCATCCAACGGTGCCTTAATTACAACTTTCCTTACTTATTTATACATTTAAATGTATTTTATTGTGTGTAAAATTTCAAGTATTTACCCTTGTACATATACACTTTTCACTGTTTTGTAAATATATGAAGAAGAAACATTAAAGGTGGGAGAAAAACATGAAAGACAAAAAAAATCTTATATTTTAATATTATATATATTGTATATTAGGCCTATTATGTTATATATTTTATGTCATATATGTTATATGTTATGTTATATTAATTGGTCCATGGTTTTATCTTTGAATGTAAAAAAAAATGTGAATGTTAAATTTTGTAAAATTGTGTCAATTCAGCATTTGGCTGCTATGAACAATTTTTCGATGTTTTTTTATGAATAAAATATACCTTGAATAATATATGTTATATATTATATTATGTTCTTTTATATTATATTATATGCGAACATCATCATCTTTCAGTTTCCTCCTCCTTAGAAAACATGATTAATCTTCTCCATTTAAGCAATTTACAAATTTGCTTCTACAATTGCAGTTTTTAAGATACTGGTTCATTTTGTTGAGTACGAATTTTCGTTAAGTATTACTTTTATTCGACTGGTTACATAGACTTCGTTGACAACAAAAATTAACGTAACCGGGATGCGTTAATCAGCGTTGAATTATGCACATGACCAAGAATATATGGCCGATTGGTCAGTTTAGCCACAGCATTTGCATTAATATAACTTAGATTAAATGGCAGAAAATAAAATTATAATATTTACCCACAATGAATTTAAAAAATAATTGTAGGCTAACAGAATTCAAAAACTGGATTAAAACATTTTTTTACGAAAAAGCCATACAGCCACATTCTGAAGCAGCCTTGGTAACACAGCGTTTATCGCGATGCACGGTAACTATGCAGCCATTTTGTTTTGTCGACACAGGTGGGCGTGGTTTAACGAAGAATGACCAGTTAAATACGGTGAAAGCCATCCATGTCAACAAAATGGTTCCACTTTTAACAGTTTGTTCTGAATACCCCTTCACCTACCTACACAGACACACCTACCCACACAAACCTATTAGGCCAAGATATTTACAGACTCAAAAGTGCACAATTTATTAAAACGATTTTATTCGCTTTGTATAGGCCTATTATTAAGACCTATAAACATAGATTCCTGTTTTTCCTAATTTCAAAAAAAGTATAGTTATAGTCAACTGAATTTTATATAGGCGTTATTAAACAATAATTACAATGTCGTTGACACGGATAGGAATATCTATTTCGACTTATTTAAGTAGTGATACCAAGGTAATTCTGTTTAATTGCCTTGGTGATACCGCAAATCTAAAGTTACATTGACGCAATCTCGCCATGCATGATGTCATGATAATGATAAATTAAGTATTATAATATAAAATCACCTTTATGTTGTGAAATAAAAATGCCAACTAATGTGCTTCCTATCTCCCTAATCATGTTTGTTCGTAAGTTAGACGATAGTGTTTCCACTCACAATAGTTTAGTTACAATAGGCCTACTACTTGCACAAAAGTAATATGCAAAAAGAGGAAAAAGGGAAAAAACTCTTGACTGACTGTACATACAAAGAGAATATAGAATTTGAGTGAGTGTTTTAAGTATATCCATGGATGTTTATCTTATTTGTTTTTCATGGTTCGAATACGTCACAAGCTAATCAGCAGATAATAAATAATTATTTTTATGAATGTTAGTTTGTACAAAATATATTACTAGGATAAATTGAAAAACTTTTATGAGTATTTCAGTGGCAGATTCAAGGGGACCCAGCAGGCCCAACTTCCTTTTCCCTTTCAAAATTTAAAAGTGGAGAAAAAAGAAAATTTAATTCAAATTTAAGTCTGAGAGTACCACTTCAGTCCCAACACTGTTGGGGCTGGTGGCCTACACTATCTGTAAAATCCTTTTCGTGGGCCCACTCCATTTCGGAATTCCTGGATCCGCCACTGTATTTTGAAAAGGTAGCTTGGAAATAAATGTTAATTAAATTCTTTAAAATAAATACCGTACGACTTATAAAAGGTTGCGGTGCTATAGACGCCAGAGCTTCCAAGAGATTCGCCCATTGAAGGCTTGGCTGTCTACGGCCCAGGACTTATTTTGTAATTTGTGCCCCCATTTTCCTCAACGGATGTTTGTACATGCTTGATCGTTATTAAAAATAATTTAAAATTATTATTGCGCTAATATTTATTTTATTGATAAACATATTTCTATTCTTTTGCGTGAAGTAAAAATTAGTATTAACAACTCGTGTTTTAAGCTTAATTAGGCTATTATTTTAGCAGTGCCTCTTAGATATGTAATAAATTGTTTAGATAATAATATAATATTAAATTAGTGTGTGTATTGACATTCAAAAAAACTGGATTTCGGCCAAGGATTCGGCAAATGGGTTTAGCTTTCTGCAAAAATTGGGTCTTGGCAAAGTGAAGTCGGCAACCTCTGACCAGATTCTCGAAGCTTTCATACCAAAAAGGCATTTAAAAGAAATTGAACCCGGAACCCGGACCCCTTTTTTATTTGGGGTTCATTGATTCTTTGAATAATTTTCAAGAAGGGAGAAAACCTTGAATTTTGATGAAATTAAAAGTAATTAAGACACCTCAGAAGTCGGAAAAGCTCGTTTCCCGCCATCTAGGAATCATAATTTTTCCGGGGGAGAACCCCCGGAACCTCCTCCCCTCTTTTCTTTGGAGCTTATCGATTCATTGTAAAAGAATAGGTATGCAACTACTATTTTTTTTATGTACCCGGTACGTATACACACATAACCGGCCAATTTTCTTTAATAAGAATGAGAAAGTTTAACTGACCGTTTTCAAGAGGGGACCTTGAATTTTGAAGAATAAAGGCATTAGACACCTAGCTAAAAGATACTTCAGAAGTCGGGAAAGCTCATTTCCCACCATTTAGTGAATATTTTCCAGGGAAGAACCCGAACCTCCCTTTTCTTTTTGGGTTCATTGATTCATTATAATAATTTTCAAAGGGGGAAAACTTGAAGAAATTAAAAGACACCTCAGAAGTCGGGAAAGCTCATTTCCCGCCTTCTAGGAATCAAAATTTTTCCGGAGAACCCCGGACCCCCTTTCTTTTTTTGGGATTTAAGGATTCATGGAAAAAAAATCGTATGCAACTAATCAATTTTTTGTATGTCTGTACAGTATACACACATAAGGCATCTGCTGTAATAACAATGGGAAACATTTACCTGACCGTTTTCAATAGGGGAAACCTTGAATTTTAGAAGAACTTAAAAGTAAGTAAGACACCTCAGAAGTTCGGAAAAGCTCATTTCCCGCCATCTAGGAATCAAAATTTTCCCGGACCCCCCCCCTTTTCTTTGGAGCTTATTGATTCATTGAAAAGAATATGTATACAACAGTTTTTTTATGTAACCGGTACGTATACACACATTATCTGGTCTCTCGGTGATAAAATGTCATTGTATACAAATTAAATATTATTTTATTAAATAGATAATACCGTACATTTGTGTTCCCCACCCCCACAATTGTTGTTTTTTTATTTTTTTTTACCATGATTCAACCAAACATGTTTCAGCCACACACGTCATTGCTTTCTCCTTCCAAAAACTTTTACGCACACTTTTACTCTGCAACTTTGAAAGACTACCCAGGGATGGCGAAAGAATTTTGCCCGACCGGGGAGGGGGAGGGGGTGGGGCGGTTCCCCCTACGAGGTGTCAGATTTCCCCGACGAAAGCAAAGTGGGCGTGGTCCAGCTTCGATTAAAATGTTCACAGAGAGCGCCACCCCTGCTACCTTAATAATACAGGTATTACGTTTAGTAACAAAGTATCTATGGGCATTTGGTTATCAAGAAATGTGTGGTGGTGTTTACTGTAGTGATCTTTCTAGGACAAATCTTATATTTATTTTTATCTTTAGCTCATGACTCATGCCATCATTCCTTCATACCGGATTTAATGGATCCTACATGGTTAATACTAGACAATAGCATAGTGTCTAGCTCCCAAGGGGGCATAGGCACAAAGACCACTTATAACACTTCAGCAGCACATGCAAGCGACGCATTCGCTGTAGAGGCTTTAAGTAAAACAAACGCTTCATCGTGGATAAAGTTTTTATTATTCTACTTGTTGTCGTACCACCACGCCCATCTTGTCTACTTTTCTCCCTTCCCTTATCCGTTGGTTGCCATACTTGTATCTGTTTTATTTCCTGTATTGTAGTCTGTTAAAAAAAAAGGTTTTGTTCGACTGTTTGGCGAGTCGAGTGGCCGAGCGGTAAGGCAGGGGGCCTTTAACATCGGCGCTGGTTCCAGCCGCTCCTCGCCCATGGTTCGGTTGGTAGAACCAAGTCTTCTCAGATAAGGTCTTAAAATGGTGGGTCCAGTGTATACATCTGACTCGTGTGCACTTTAAAGAACCCATTACATCTTTGGGAAGAGTAGGGGGTTACCACAATGTTATGGTTCATTTCAGCCCCTGTCGTGGAATGATGTGAACATGTATGCAAGTTATGGGTTATTCTCCTACCCTTACCTTACCTTTATTGTGTTGAAAAAGATAATTCTATTGACCTTTGTTTGACAGTTTTAGACTACTTGGGCGTATCTTTTTTGCTTCAAGTATTTCCTGTGGGAGTGGGGGAAGTGACTGGCAAAGCAAATGGGGTAGCGCAAGCATCCTTACCAAGCATCCCCAATGATATGCCACTGCTGCTTATTTGATATTCTTAAGTCAGCGAGTACCAACTTCAAGCAATGTGGACAATGGGTTATGGGTCTTTCCGAAATATCAAACAAAAGATAAGAACAGGGAGTGGAATGCACACTTGTACCACAAGAACATGTTTTGTACCACAGCCACAAGTTAACAAGTGTTGTTCTACAAACATATTTGTTAGGTATGTTAACACTATCGTTTGTGGAATGTCAACAGCAAAGGATAAGGAAAGAGATTAGTGAAAAAGCCAAAATATTGTCTAATATGATGCGCTACATAAGCTTCGATTATTATTAGGTACCTCTCAGTAGGCTGCAAAACAACAATGCACAACTAAAACTAAAACAATGTCAGTGATAATTAGTTTATTTTAATCAAAAAAGAATGGCATGTCGAAGAGCCAGAAAAATATTATTCTTTTGAAGTCCATAATTTAATATATTTTTGCCTTGCACATATACAGTACAGGTACATACAAACATTTCTTACAGCTAAGCACAGACCTCTACAGAAAAATGTAGAAACATCATGATTTACAGTATAACATGCCAAAAAATATTGCAAGTATAAACTTGCAATAATTTTACAACTATTATATAACAACTTGCGAATAATGATCGCCCTGTTTAATTGGGCTATCATAGAACCTCGAATAGAAGCCAAATGTGCTTAATCTCGAGAAGAAGCCCATCTCGAATTGAAGCACCCCTCTTTAGTTTGCAAAAATCACCTCGAAAAGAAGTCCATCTCAAAAAGAAGCCCATGGACTTCCTTCAAGATAGCATGTGCCTTTTTTTGAGATAGTACAGTACAGTACTATAGAAGCAAAATAAATTAAAAACATGCTTTATACAGTAGTTTAGGTGATTTAATGCCGGGTAATACACTCCATGATACAGATTGATGTTACAGTGGCTCTATATTGTTTTATAGTGGTAATTCCCAAATATTCTTTTGAAAAGAAGCCCATCCTATGTTTGCAAAAAAAAACAAAAAGAAGCCCATGGCTTCAATTCGAGGTTTCACGTTATGTGAAAACAGCATGTTGTTTAAAGTTTCGAAAATATGACGAAATCAACATTAATAATTAAGTGTTACTTAAAAAGCACATTAATTCTTCAAGGTTGTACAGAAATTGGGTTGTCATAAATTAGTAGTTTTAGTATTACAAATCAATGTTTCCCCTACCTGATGTGTTGAATAGGTTTTTTTTGCTTTTTTTTTGGACGTATTTGGAAACATACTGTGCATATAGTACTATAACAAACGTCAGGTAGGGCAAACATGAATTCATATTATTTCTCTTGATGCAAAATAACCTTCATATATTTTTGGTATCTTCATAATTTGATTTCAGTGTAGTTTAATAACTTATCATAACATCTTCAAAAAGCTATTCTAATAAGATGACATTTAATGCCAGATTTATTCATAGGCCGAAGTTGTTAATTTGAAAACAATTGAAAATGTATAATTTAATGAAAAAAAAAGAATGATAAATTTTTAATAAAAATTTGACAAACATAAAAACATCTATTAAATTGGTTGCTGAATTTGGACCTCTTGATTTAAGATTTACATGACATCTTTGGCCTTTCCATCATTTACTCTGCTGTGTCTTTAACAAAATGCCATTTATCAACTATGGGGAAAAAAAGAAAAATAATGACAATAACACATTTAATGATACATGTCAGGCAAGACAATTATTATACCTTGTTTGAAATACTGTACCATACAAGGGCAAAATTTATTTATACCAAGACAACCTCCATCTGTCCCTTCTCAATTAATGAATCCCTGATAATACATGATAATACATATACTGTAAATTAGAACTACCATGTTTACTTAAATTTTGGTGGCGTTTTATTTTATCTTTTTGGTGTAAAATTGATGTGTGTGTTCAAATAAACGCCCCTTAATTTCACTGCAGATGTGGAACTACAAAATGTTAATAACATCAAAATATGCTGTTGCGTGATCATAAATTAGATTTGTTTAATCATTTGCAAGGGGGGGGGGGTTAGGGCGTTTATTTACAGAAAAAGATACATGCCTTGAGGTGTTTAATCAATCTAGAAAATAGTACAATACATACTCCAAGTATTGAAATGCACGCCATCATGTCGGGATTCAATATTTCAACATTAATTATGTCATCAGGAATGCTCTAAATGGGTGCTTTTTTAGGGGACATATATTCAAAGCAGGGTGTTTATTCAAACAAATAAGGCCAACTCAGACAGCGTCGTACACAGACGTGATGGTTTGCGTCGGGGGCAGTAGCGTCGTAGAATATTCAACATGTTTTAATATTTCTCACGACGGCTTAAGACTGTCCCCGACTATAAATCGGGTCGGGCTGCATCGGCCGGCGCTGTCTGAGTTGGCCTATACGGTAACTGATTTTAAACTTACTATCAGCTGCTACATCTTCAGACACAGCTTGAAACTTGTTCTGAAAAAAATGAATAAACATGTATATATCTTTGGTTCCAAACGCAAATTCCATCCACCTGTTATTAATGAAATTAGCCTAAAAAGTAACCATGATAAGAACAGAACCTTAATCTGAGAGTACCGTAAATGCTCAAATAAGTGTTGCGGCACTTATACAATTTTTGGAGGCTTCAGTGCGCCGCTTATTTAAGAGCGGCGCTTCTGAAAATATTATTAGCGCTTTCTATGAGTATTACCACGTTACCTGTTTCACGCATATTCCCGTATTTCAGTAGACCTATCATAGGTCCACATATCCTAAATACATGTTTATAAAGAAATGCTTATTCATTATAACACTTCACACATTGTATTTAAGACCCTGTTTCTCAAAGTATTTCATTACATACAGGCCAATATATATGCTCTCGATTAAGTACCGCTTATTCGAGAGTGGCGCTTAACAAAAAACATCATTTACGGTAATAATGTATTTCTCCTCTCAGCATTTTTGAATCCAATTTCTTTCAGCATGCTTTCATTGAAGCTTACTATTATTAAACAATTAGATTCAAGTTCTGAGGACTCTAGAAAATAGATGCCAGAAGCCTGCAGGCTGAAGACGATTTAAGGGAATAATGGCATCCAGGGGCGGATCCAGAGATGTCAAAAAGGGGACCAAAAGGGCTGATCGAGACAACACTCTCATAAGAGGTCCGGGGGGCATGCCCCGCAAAATTTTTATGTTCCAGATGCCTGAATATAACATTTGAGGCATTCCCATGGGCTATTTTCTTCTTTTCTTCATTTTCTTCTTTTACTTTCTGTTTTTTCCTTTTTTTTCTTTTTTACCTTCTAAAAGGGGGGCCCCTAAACTTCATTTGTGTTCACCAATACCATATACGGAGATTTGTCAGGTTTGTAGTGTGCGTACAGAGCTTGGACTAGCAACAACATATTCATCGCAATTTTCAGGGATGCAATTATGGTGGGTGGGGTCACCCAGCCTCATGAACTTACTTTACCATCCGTAAAGTCTACTCTTATTATTTAGAGCTTACTAAGGTTGTCTAAAAATGTCCACCACCAACACTTAAGTTTTCTTCAGCTACAACCCTGAATGTTGAAATTTTTGCACTTGAGACAAAAAATAACAGGCCCTATATCGATATCGTGCCTGCTTGGAGATAGTAAAATTTACATTGATTTGAAAATGAGGTTAATGACTCACTAAGTTTAGGTTACAAAATGTGTAATTACTTTTACTTTCTGAGGCAGACTTACTTCATAACATGCCCACGAACAGTGACACGATTGACATCAATAAGTAGAATTATTAAGTTTGGACTATGGCAAACTCAGGTAACTTATTCATTTATTTTTATTTTATTTTATTTCAATTTTGCATCAAACATCGGGGAGTCTGCCACTTACAGAATGGAAAATTAATACCTACTAATCACTTAAAAATACAGCAATATTTTAATAGACGTTTGAAAAAGGTAATATTTTAATTAAACACAATTCTTAAACATGTCTTGTTTACTATTGGTGTTTTTACATGAATTGTATGTACAGTACTTCAACTTACAGTTTCTTTTTCAACTTGTTCTTGTGCCATTGAAGATGGTATAGTATGGACACTACCAGCAACTGTTGTGTTTTGACTAAATACACACACAAAAATAAATGAATGATTAGACGTTTATCAAGAAAACCAAAAAAAATATTATATGAATATGACAAATTGTATTGGAGATTAACAACAGATTCAAAATGAAGCTAAAGAAAAAATACAACATGCCAAATAAGGTCATGATGTAACAATAATAATAAGAAATATTACCATTTGATTCCTTTAGGTTCAGTTATGCCTTGCATCAACTTTTTCCACTGTTCATGGCATGTCTTAACAACATTCGTAGCAAACTCCTGGAAAGGATAAAAAAAAAAAATTATTAATATTAAACATGGTATCTGGAGCATGAGAAATTTTAACAATGAGAATGGAGGAGAATTGATTAAGGAGGATGGTTTGAGCATGGAGTTATGAGTGAGGAGATCATTCGAAAACAGATTCCTTTGACGCTACAACAATGTGCTTATGGTTTACGTGGGGGCTTCTTAGCTGTTTTTCATTAGCAACAACAGGTTGCTTATATACTTAACCGAAGCTGTTGTGCGATGTGACACATTAAACCATTCAATGTTAACTTGTTAAATATTTCAAAGTTAACAATGTTCCCCTAAATGGATTTTTTCCAACTTTTAGTACGTTATGTGTAAATTTCAGGAATAGATTCCGAAAAAATTATTTCTGTTGCAATTAGTTCTGGGTTCATGTAACGTTGGAGAAAAAATGTGTTTGATTTGACATAATCATGAAGTTACTGCACACAGTAGGCTTAGCTAGTTGTTTGTAATTTAGTATGTATTCTTTGGTGCCTGGGTCAGGGGAAGTTTTAAGGGGGTGGGAGAGTGTTGTCTCAATCGGCCCAACTTTGGGCCAACCACATTTTGGGGCCCCCCCTCCCCTCTTTTGGACATCTCTGGATCCACCCCTGTGGGTATTGGCTATATCTGAACTTAGCACGATTTTATCAACAAGAGAGAGTGTATTGTCTTAACTACGGATATTCCCACCATCTGATAACAATTCCAAATTTCCACAATGAAAATGCTTAGTGTCTACTATTGATACAGAAATCTTCCAACATCGCCGCCTTCTCTCAATATCACTCTGGGTGCCAAACCACAAATTTTTGTTTGCAATACGGATATTTCTAAGAATGATTTCATCAACAAGAGGTATGTATTTTCTTAACTATGGAAATTCCCACATAAAAAATTCCAACTTTCCTTTTCCATGTAAGTAACACAATGAAATCGTTTCGTGTCTACTATTTAAATGAAAATCTTCAACTCCTTCTCTTAATATTATCCAGGTGCCCAACCACAATAAGGAAGTGTTTGACACAGATCACAATACCCACATGCTATAAATATATAAAAGAATTTTACAGGAATCATTACAATCTTCGGTGACACAAACACAACAACCACAGACTCAAATTCATCTTGCCATCAACTAAAGAAAGTAAGTACTCTACCTAGTTAATAACTATATTCAGGAAAAATTTGCTATGCCAGTTATGCAAAATATATTTTTATAAATAATCATTCAGCTTAGAAAGAGGGCAGCCTTTAATAATTCTGTTAATTATGCTTTTTAAAGACTAATTGTAAAAATTAATCATATCAAATTGTGTATGAATATTCACTTTACTGCCTGCCTAAACCATCGATTTGGTATGGAGTAAAAAGGGTGAACAAAGTTTCTTGTTTCATTTGGTTTTATACTTTTGCTAAAGTTACCAAACTTCTAATCAGAATATTATTTTCATGCATCATGACTGCTTGATTACAAATTGCTATTTCAAGTTTTTACCTTTAGGTCCCAGGTATTCAACCTTTTTTAAGCTGAGGGCCAGTTCCAATCTGTTGAGACCAGCAGCGGGCTGACATAAATTGTATACTTCCATTTTGTCTATGTTAGCCCCACCATTTTCTTTTATAGTGGTGGATTCGAAATAGAATGGGCCAGGGAAGAAAATGTACTACCTCAACCCCAACCATGGTGGGGTTGAGGAAAAAAATGTTTGATAATGGCACTTTTTAACGCAGATACCTCTAGAGTTCTGGAAATGACACTTTCAAATATTAGTTTTAAAAACATTTTTTTCAATAGAATACGTGCCCTCCCCTCCGCAAATGGTAAACATTGCATCACCAGCGCCCGATTTAATCCATTATTACTGTAGTCTCCCTCTCCCCCATGTCAATACTCTACGCCACTAGATATAGTGAGCTACACTCAGAAAAAGCCACACTCTTGTACACAATGCTAGAGTAGGGTTGCCTAGATGGTGTTTCTATAAACAGAAAAACAAATGGCCCAGTAAATGACTTATTTTTAGCAATGCTGCGCGGGCCGTATTTGGCCCGGGGGTCGGGGGGTTCAGTAACATGCTTTAGGTTCATATAATTTTTCAAGCTGTTTAGTTTTGTACTTTTACTCAGCAGGTTTTTGTTATTCATTTTTTTAAGAGTTAGTATCATTTGATTTTATATACAAAAATTAGTCAATATTATTTCAATAACAAAAGAATAAATAAATAACCGAAAGGTCAACTGATTAATCTCAGATAAGATAGTATAATACATACTCCAAGTATCGAAATGCACGCCATCGTGTAGGGGTATCAATATTCTGACATTAATTACGTCATCATCATTCCTGATGATGATATAATTAATGTCGAAATATTGAATCCTGACACGATGGCGTGCATTTCAATACTTGGAGTATGTATTATACTATCTTATAAATAATAATAATAATAATTTTATTTTTTAGTGTATTTTGCTAAAAGCCAATGCACTTTACATTAGAAATAAAAATCCCGAATTAAGCAAAATATAAATTAAAAAGTAAAAGTTCAAATGGTGCACATACTAACTCACAGGAGGACTAAATCACAATTTCTGTTTAAATGCATCGTTGGAATTGGAGCTCAGATATTTTGACAGTTGCAACTCAGAAAATATCACACACCATTTAAATTTTAGATTATAAAGCAAATTTAGTGATCAAAGACATCATTGCCACAAATATTTCTATATTTTCTATTTTCTTTATCTAAGGAAACTTTCTTTCCATCATACAATTACTGAATTTTCAATGTTTACCATTATTCCTTTTCCTACAGTTGCAACTTCAGCAAAATTCCCTTTCTGTCATCCAACTTCAATAAAAAGATGTTTTTGTTTATCTGCTGACATTTTATACGCCTGTATTTGACATCAGATAATGATGTCATCAGTGCTACTGTGTAGAACGCCCTTTCAAACAAATCACAGATTTATTAATAATTGTTAAATAGAAAGTCAAATAAGGCCAGGGGGGAAAAAATATATGCTTAAATTAATTACTATATACTATTTATTTTTTATATCAGTTTTCAGTTAGATGTAAATTTATTTACTATCATCCTGTACCTTATTTCTTTTCAGATTAAGCATGTCTATAAATACAGCAATACTTCTCTTTACTATCGTCTGCCATGTCTATTCAACAAACACAGGTGATCAGAATTCCTGCAACACCTGCTGTAATCCACCAGCTGGCATTCCTGGAATCCAAGGAACCAACGGTATTCCAGGACCAAAGGGTGATAATGGTGCAAAGGAAGAGATCGGACTTACAGGTGAAAAAGGAGATATAGGACAGAAGGGAGATGTTGGACAGAAAGATAATAAGAGTACAGTAGGCCAATCAGGATGTGTAGGTTCTCCAGGTAGGAAAGGGGAGCCAGGGCCAGTAAACAGTATGGTATTCAAGTCAGCCTTTTCTGTCAAGTCAGTAGGACGTCGTATCAGTCGGATTGATCACAGGCAACCAATACAATATAACGCTGTGATTACCAACATTGGCGGAGATTACAACCTGACAACAGCAAAGTTTGTGTGCAGAGTGCCTGGTGCTTACGTATTTGCATTCACAGGACATAATCCTTATGATAAAGATCTTTCAATCACCATCATGAAAAACAATCAGCGTATCGTGTCTTCATATTCTGGCGCAATAGGCGTCAAATCCACCAGTACTACGGTAGTTCTAGTGTTGGTTGAGGATGATGAGGTATGGACTCAGCTTTATAAAAGAAGTAATAACATTAACTCGTACAGATTTGCTGAGGCATCATTTTCGGGATTTCTAATCTATCCAGCTACATAGATGCAATCAGATTTAAAAAACAGAAAATGAATTGTTGACTAATGGTATAAAAGGGCATGAAATAAAAAATAAATTTTGGATATACTCCTCAATGTTTTTTTTTTATATATTATATTCACACTTACACAGTGAAGTTGGTTATATGTACAACTGAAATATATTACACTAAATAAAGATGATAAAAAAGTGAGCCACCAATGTGTGTTACATCAGCTCTACAACCACAGACCCTCAATCTCTTTTTTTTTTTTCAAACATGCTAACTATTCTTGTATAGTAATAGGTGTTGGAATCTGGGAAAAATCCCAAGAAACTGGATAATGTAATGCATGACAATAAAGTATAATTTGTACTAATAAATAAGTCTACAAAATATATACATTGTTCAATTTATTTTTGTTGATATGGTATTTGTAAAATAAATGCTCTTCATGCATGAGTAAACTACTATGAACTGTGCAAGTATATTTTCTTGTTTTTCTCTGATTTCTGTAAATCAATGGTAGGGAGTCAGGGTCAATTGTATGAGACACGCAGGGTGTCATGGTGTCAGTTTTTTTTTTCAATGTTATTTTTTCGTCTACTTTTACTGTTTATGACGACCGACAATTGCCCGAGTTCACGCTGAAGAGAATTAATCTCAGATGATGTGTCATGAGTAGCAAGAGTTTAAATCGTCTCAGCTATGAGCGTTGGCTCAGCTGCCTTTTTACTTTTATTTCTACTTGTCATCTTGATATATTTTTTTTTCTTGTAAAAGTTGTAGTTTAATGCAAGAAACTTACTTTGCTGTATAATTATTTTCTTTGATGGTGAAAGTCAAGCTGTCCCTTTTAACAAGCTATTTCAGTTACGTTAGGCAGAGCCCCGTTAGCTACGTCTTCACCTGATCATTCCCATGATTCAATAGCTTTTAGGTGGAAATGATTCCGCAGCCACTGTATGCAGTGCGCATTGAAAAAGGAGCCCTCTATTTCGCCATGTTCAGTTTGTTGGTAAACTATGCCTGCTGAGCAACTGGTGGCGGGCAACACATTGGATATCAAAGGCATCACGTAACCGACTTAATGCACTGTGGACGCTTTGTTCATTGCTCATATGTATATTATCGTTAAGTGCACGGAGTTAAGTCGAATGATCTCATTCTCACTCATAATACCTGCATGGTTTGAGTATGAAGGATGGCTTGAGTATAAGGGATTGAACGAGTGGAGGGATGAGTTAGGTACAAAAATGATTGGGAAGAAATATAAGAGATGATTTGAATGCCAAAATCTGCGAAAAACATTTCACCAACTAATGTTACAGTGTGTTAAGTCAAATTGACCTATCCATGGATTTTGTGAGTAACTTAAATGTAAACTTACTGCACTCTTGGCTTCACCCTCAAATGCAAATTTATTAGCTGGTTTGCCATCAGGAATCTTGTATAGTTTAAACCAATCATGAGTAGCCTGCAAAAACATATAAAGGAATCAAACTTCATTTTCTTTTTTCTGCCAAATATATATAGAAATCTCACATACATATAGAAAAAATTTATCAACCCAAAATAAAGTTGAAAGATTGAGGATACAAAAAGATTCAGGGCACCCTCTTTATGAACTGGGGAAGGAGATTTATGGAGAAAGGATACATATTCATAGATAAGGGTCATCTATATATAAACCCGGGATAATTATTTTTCTAGCGGGACTGTCCACTGACTGGACTGGGGATCTTCTTTATCAACAATATTGTCTATTTATGAACCTGGCTCTCTATACAAGTGCTATTTATTTGACTGATTGTTCTTGGCAACAAGGATTGATGTATTGATGAATAATGCTGTCTATTATATATATATATATATATAAGTGTAAAATAAGAGCTATGAAATGGTATAAAATAAATAAAATAAAATAAATATAAATAAATAAAAAAATAAAAATAAGAGCTATGAAATGGTATAAAAATATTAAAATCTGATATATCCTTATGCAGTTACAAGCGTTTAAAGAACAATATGTAAGAAATCCGCCTTCAAAGTTTATAATTTCAATGGCATTTCTCATGCAGAAGCTATCATAAAATCCTTCAAAAGTGTTGTTTTAACATTGAAAGTGTGGAAAATAACAGCATAACATGATTTATACATATATATAGGTTATTTTAGTGCAATAAAATAGATTTTTTAAAATTTGACATTCCAGCATGTTTTGGCCATCTTCTCTGAAACACGATTTGCGATGAGTGACTGGTTGGGCTTGTCTTTGCCACATAATATATGGACTAGTTGTGACAGAGGGGCGTGTCACTGAAAGGGTGGAGGGCTGTCTCTTATACACATCTAGATGTGTATAAGAGACAGGGGATCTCTAACATCAATAGCCAGAATCTTCCAGTCAGTTTCTCCTGCAGAAACACCATTTAAGTGCAAAAAAAAATATATATTTAATTCATCAGTCAAGTAATTTACTTCGTATTATCAGAAAGATGATGATTACAACAGTTGTATGTATTGCCTCTAGCACAACACTTAAACATATGTATGATGATTACATTTACCCTACATCAATATTTCATACTGTACGAACCACTGTCGGTTCATTTCTGTAGAATCAACAATAACATTTTGGCAAGACTTTATCTATATACCCTGAATGGCAAATTTTATTACAAATTTACAATACACTACACCATTGGATTGTGGCTACCATCAGTTTAGCCGACTGAGGTAGCTGCTCTCACTCTTCAATACCTTCCTAATCCTATCTAAAGCCAAAATCACTACAGAATTAAAATAAGTATTATGAAAAGTCACATGCATACCCTCGTCAATCAGGGCCATCGTTCCCAGTACTTTGACCTGAATGACCTCTCCTCTCTGAGCAATCTGAAATGAAAAATAACATTCACATAAACCTCCAGATAGTGTACTGTACAAATTTGCTTCTTAAGAAATTGCTAGAAATAAAAAATATAATCAACTAATGGAGTGTTTTTAAAGAGTATCGCAAAAATAATATTTTTGATTAAAAGAAAATACTTATTGTTTCGTTTGCCTTTAAGCCTGTTTTATACTAGACGAATTTATTCGTGCGAACTGAAAGCGCAGTTTCACTTCCTGAGTTTTGATTGGTTGCATATTTTTTCGCTTTGCAAAAAGTAGAATGGTAATGGTAATGGTTGGAGACTTGTATAGCGCATAATACATGGTCTCTATGCGCTCGGGACTAGATGTTGCACTTTACAATAACTTTCTCCTCCCCTAAGGGTCACTTCATGTCTTCAGCAGCCAGTATCATCTGTCCACGCCAGGGGCCGAATGAACCAGTACACCGGGGTAACCCCCTACTCATCTCGAAAGATGTACTGGGTTCTTTAAAGTGCACATGAGCATTTGTGTACACTGGGCCTACGGTTTATAGTCCTTATCCGAGCCGGCCGCGAACCCGTGCCGATATTGTTGGCTATGATCACGGTGCCCCTGCTTTAACCGCTCGGCCATTTGGCTCGCTCAAAAAACAGTTTAAACTACTGACTTCGCTGAAGCGGAAAACTTCGGTAGAAGCTTTCAATTCGCGCAAATAAATTTGCCTAATGGAAAACAGGCTTTAGGGCGCTAAAATTCTACATTATAAAATTTTCTTTGACAAAAAACTGTTTTATGCCCATATTTAGTCATGATGTGCCTATACTGTATATGGCCATGATGTAATATCATCATGGCTATATTTAGGCAAAATATGATAGCTTGGACAAGGCTTAAAACACGACATAAAGTACAATTGTAAAAACCTTCAATAAAAGAATTTGGTAACAAGACAGCTGATGATCTCTCCCTTGGGGAAATCTATTAATAATGATAAATAAAAACATCTATATCTCCTCTGTACAGTCTCATTGATGAACCTAGGTAATATTTTTAAATGCCCTAAATATGTTCTGCTACAGTTCCTTACCCAAATAAGACACAAGAGCCTAGTTTTAGATTCGAAAACAAATCTTCAATTATAATACTAAGCTTTTGATTCCCAATCCATAGTATCGAATCATAAAAATCACTTGTGTGCTTACCCTTTGACCTATTTCACAAACATCAAGGGGATCGTTGTCGCCGGCACATCCTGTGTTTTCGTCTTTATGAGATGGATCCTCCCAAGTCTGCAATAGACAAGAGATGAATTCAATGATTCAATTATTGTGGTGTTATGTATGATACAGAAACCATTCAGGAATACTCAAGAGAATCAGATCACTTAATTTTTAATTGACTATTATACCTTTCTTACAACTTGTACTCGCTAAATATCCCTATTATTAAGTGGCCCCATATATAAAGTATATGGTGTGGCTTTTCATAGCAAAAATGATGAGAGGTGGAAGAATCTTAGACATAGCATAACATACTGGCTCAAACTGCAATATTTTCTACTCCCTGGGGAGTATACCTAGGTGTATCACTGAACTCATAGCAAAAAAACCACAAGCAAAATTTACAGCGAGGATTCAAAATTCTGATGTCAAGGTTGACTGAACACCTACCACTTCACATAGTGCTAACAAATGCAATGCATCATGGAAAATATTTCAAAATTAAAAACAAAAGCCCAAGTGGCTATTGTACTTTGAACAAGTTCTCGTAATCGTAAAAGTTCCAATGAAGTTCCGATGAGGGCAGTATAATAAAGGCAGTAGAGCTATAAAGATCTATTAATCAACCAACTATTAATCAATCAGCCAAGTTGTTTCTAGAGCTGATCATAAGGGCAGTATAATAGAGGCAGTAGAGCTAAAAAAGATATATTTATCAATCAGCCACATGAGGGCAGTATAATAGAAGCAGTAGGGCTAAAAAAAGATCTATTAATCAATCAGATGAGTGTTTCTACAGCTCCTCATCGGAGCTAAAAACATCCTAGCAAAATACACTGAATTGGTTTTTCGAAAGCATGACCTGAAAGTTGTGGTTAATGAGCAGCTTTAAGCGATGTACGTACAAATCACAATTAATGTTACTTTTCATTCATCTAGACTTTATATTATTGCACAGTGTCTAGTGACTCAGATGACTATTGAAAACATCAACTAATATCTACAGTAATAATAGTTTAATTTGTAATCAAGCGGTACAAAATATGCAATTTGCTAATGTGAACATTCGTCAAGAACCAATCAACAACAGTTTCACTCCATTATTAGCAAACGTTGGTGTTTCAATAATACAACAGATAAAAATAATCTGACATTATTTTTGTACATTAAATGCACTGAAGAAGATGAAAGGAAAAGGTCAGACAACAAAATGATACATCAGCAACAGCGATACAATCACTATCAAAAAAGGATGAATTAAATACGTCGCATACAGAAGAAAGCAGACAATTATCTGTAATCATAGATGTTCATAGAAACTCAAAATATTAATATAAACTTCAGACTTTATTTTAAATTGAGAAACAGATGTTAATAAACTATTATGCTCCCTTTACATCCAGTTTCATATTACGAACGACGCCCACTAATTCATTCACCAAGCATGAAATCATTTACATTTAAGAGATTATAATAGCTTTTTTTAAGGGGCATCCACTCATGCCATGGTCCTTAAATGGACTTCAACCTCTTTCCCACCACACCACTCATGCCATGGTCCTTAAATGGTACTTCAACACCCCTCCCCCACCCCACCAGGCAGAAACATTCTGGGTCCACCCCTCTAAATAAAATACCATAGAAAGAATTGTAATAGAAATTGTATATTGCTATTTTCCAGCAATTTGAGGCAAATGGTCTGCTAGCTTATAACTGCACCAGGCATGATCATGTTTTTCATTCAGCAAATATGTTTTCAAAAAAATGTGAATAATATTACTTGTGGAAAGGCTCCATAATTCCAGATGTAGCCTTGGTAAGGAAATACATTCTTTACAAATCGCAGTTTATTCTTCTTCACATCTTGCCTGATGGGGTTCATATCCAATTTTGTTCCTATCTGTAAGAAAAAAAAACAAACTGACGTTCATTGAAAAATTATTGTGGACATATGTGACGGGTTCTGGCAAAACCAGCCGTTTGGGGGAAAAATTCAAAATTAAGTTTTTTTACGTCTTTAGATTCTGCATGAATTCTTCTTTAAAACATTTTTTATTTGATGGAAATTGGTTGAGTTTTTAATAGAAGTTATTAATTTTTAATTCATTGGATATCAGACATGTAGGTTTTGAGAAAACAGCTTCCAAAGATTCCAAAATCAATAGTTTGTATTTTAAAAAATAATTTTAATATACTTTTCTGTGAGATTTAATCATTGATATTTTGCAGAAATGTTCATCAATATATCTTCTTTTAATATAAAATTAAAAAAAACATGAAAATGTTCAAAATTCTGATTCTCGAACGTTTTAAGTGCTTGTGGGAAATTAGAAGTTGCGACAAACGGCGGCTTTTGCCAGAGCTGGTCGCATATACTATGTAAAGTACAGGGTGGTGAAATACGGCCTGTGGGTCACTGCAGCAAAACAGCAACTTTGCTGTGGATGAGAGCTGCCACGAAAACGTGATGATGATGACTATGATGATTACTATAGTCATCATCATCATCACGTTAGTATATATCTGATCTTGGTGATCCTATAATGAATAAAAGGTTTTATTTATTTGTATTTTATTTATTAATTTATTTGATATAGATACTCAAAATGCAACAAAGGTTGTAAATAATTTACAATATTAACACAATATAAAAATATGTAAGAACAATTTTAATGAATATTAATTAAAATGATTATAATTACCAAAATGATAATAGTTAAAAAAAAGAATTAGAAAGTACTAGATGGAATACTGTAGCAAGTATCACACCACTGGAAAAAAATAAGGGTTGGTAAGTTTTAAATTACTACTAGTCAGCCATTTTAAACTCTATGATACAGCACTGGCAAACCAGAAAACCTGTAAATTCACATAAAACACTAATTTACTAAATTATCAATATTTCTACTATAAGCAATCAATAACTACAAACTGTAAATCAATATAAGCTGCATTATGATACTTATTCGCGAATTTCATTAATTGTGGCTGCCTGAAAATTAATGCATTTTTTACGCACGCCTAGCCGTATGCTTTTCCTACCAGCACCTACTATTGTACTAGACTATGTACAGCAACTGTACAACCAGTAGATGTGTTTGATGAGAGTGGCCTGGGTCTAAAAAGGATACTTTGTAAAGGGGTCACCATGTCATCTCTTATAATAATAATTTTTAGGTACTAACCTCCATTTTTGCATTCGTCCATCTTGGTATCTCAACAACCATATGCATATTAGTTTGCTAGAAAAGGAATAATAAACAATTTTATTTTTATTTTTTTTACTACAATTTTTGTAGTTAGCATGCATTTATTGTTTCATTTATGATTTTATTTTAATTATAATTTTAAAGATAACTGAATAAATCAAATCATTGTACTGATATTACAGTATAGTAATTTATTTGTTTTTTTGATTAGGAATCAAATATCTAAGTGGTCATTCATAATTATCAGCATTTCGCAAGTGAATAGCAAGAGTAGGCCTACCCTTTTTCAGTACCCCTCCCCTCTAACAAAACCAATCTCCAACTAATTGTATTATTATTGGTCATAAAGATACAGTGTTCTCCGTAGCATCACGGGCAAGCGTCATGGTAAGTGCTAAGTCCACCATAGTTGGGACTGACACAAGGTATTTTTAATAATTAGGAGGCATTGAAATGTCCTAAATTGCAATTTAAGACTATATAAAAGCAGGGAACAGTTAAATAATTTAACTATTCCCTGATAAAAGCATCATGGAAGATGTTCCATGCATCATGGCTAACTGTCAAGCATCATGGGGAAAGTCCCAAGCATCATGGTACCATGATGCTTCAAGAGCCTGGGTAGAACACCGAGATATATTATTGCATGTTATTTTGAATCAAAATTGTCATGCTTATGTACAGTAAAGGTGTACACATTTGTCTACCCCTGTCTCTTATACACATCTAGATGTGTATAAGAGACAGCTCACACATTAAGCATGTGTCCAGTAATATTTTATGTTCGTTGATAATACAATACATATTACATATTAAACCCCAAACAGGAAGCCATTATATGTAACCATGGTAACACATTACCATGTTTTCCGAAAAATCGTTAGGATGCATAATTGCTATTTTCATACATTTTATAATAGGTGGTAACTGCAGACTCTAGATTGTCACGTGAAGGTTTGATGTTTTAACTAACCTTTTTGGAAAACATCATGTTTTTAATTTACCAGTGAATATTTATTTTTTATTATAAAAAATATATGAAGAGAAATATAATAAAAAAGCAGTGGCAGATTCAAGCAGGGGCTCAGTCAGCCCGGGCCCCCTAAATTGTTCAAAATTTGTTAAAAGTGGAAATATAAAGAAAATTATATTCAAATTTTAAGTTTGAGAGTGCAATATCTGGCCATCTAGAGGTGCCATAATCACAAATTTTCCACAACCCCAACCATGGTGGGCCTGAGGTGGTGTAGATCCTCCATCTGTGAAAGTACCAGGAGTGGTCAGTGGTGGGGGACAAGAGCCCCATCGGGCAGAGATGGACGCCCGTCTGGGAAATAAACCACAATTCATCTTGGAGAAAAAAAATTGACTAAATAAGCCTTTGAAACCCCTGAATTGTCAAAATATTCAGGGCTTCACTCTCTGCACCACTTTCAAATTATTTTGTGTAATGCCCGACCATGCCAACTCTGCTTTTGTCGGGGACATCTGCCCCATTGTCGGGGTAATCGGCACCCCTTTTGGGGGGGGGGGGTAGACCT